TAGAGTCATTAATTTGTCATGTTTTACTCTGTCAAATGCCTCCTGGTAGTCTATAAAGCATACGTATATGTCACAATTTACATCCTTACATATCTGAAATAGCACCTGTACAGCAAAAAGGGCCTCCCGTGTTCCCAGAGCATCACGAAATCCGAATTGTGTTCTTGTTAGTTGTTCCTCACATTTTGTATATATTCTTTAATGACCTTTAGAAATGTTTTAAGTAAATGGCTCATAAGGCTCCTAATTCTATAGTCTTCGCACTTTCTCGCATTGAGTTTGTTTGGAAAATTTATAAAAGTTGATTCGCAATTGGTGTTTGTTGTGATACCAGTGTTACTTCGTACATCTTCAAAAGTTTTTTCCACGTATTTAATCCAAATATCCCTTTTATGCTCTATTTCCAGTACTATGTTTCCCTGATTATCTGTCAGGAATCCAGTGTTCTTGTGTTTATATAAGCCTGCCGCTTCTTTAATCTGTTTATGGAGGTTAAATAAATCATGTTTTCGTTGTAATGACTCTATCTCTGTACACTTGAACTAAACCAATTTTCTTTTGCTATTTGAATAGCCCTTTTTATTTCGTTATTTATGTTGTTGTAGTAATTCTTATTATCTTTAGCGTTTCTTTTGTCTTCCATCATACATAGAATCTCCTCCGTCATCCATTCCTTTTTCTTTGTTCTTTCAGGTTTTAAGTATTTCTCTGATATTTCTTGACTTACTTTGTGCAAATTTTCTAGTTCTACTCTGTGTTATCTATTTCTGTACGAGCCCACGTTTTTTCTTTTAGGCGTTTTTGTACCTGTTCCTTTACTGTTTTATTTTTCAGTTGGTTAATATTTTACTTCGTAATTTTTGGTCTTTGAACTTTCTTTAAACTAAGTTTCATTTTGGCGATAGGTGGATTGTGGTCCGAATTTATGTCGGATCCCGGGTACGCTTTAACAGATGTTATAGAGTTTCTAAATCGTTTGTTAACAAGAATATAGTCTATTTGATTTCGTACTGTGTGATCTGGAGCATCCTGGGGATATTTCCACGTATATAGTCGTCTTCGACGAGGATCATAAAAGGTGTTTGTCACTACGAGCTGTTCCTCAGTTGCAAATTCAATGAAACGGTCTCCGCGTTCATTACGTTCCCCTAGACCAAAGGATCCCACTAAATTTCCCCTTTGTCCTTTGCCAACTTTGGCAATAAAGTATCCCATTATTAGTAATATTTTGTTTTTCTGAATCCTTTTGATAATATTAGTAAGGTCATTGTAAAATTCTTCTATAATTTCTTCTGGGACGTCCGCTGTAGGAGCGTATACTTGAATAATGTTTGTTTTTATGAGAGTTGTGTTTAGCTGAAATAAGAGCATCCTTTCTGATCAGGTACAAAGTGACTGACACAATTGGTGATTTTATTATTCATAATTAGGCCCACTCCATTTATATGTTCGTTCTTAAGATTTCCTGAGTAGAATATTTTGTGATCTTTGATAACTCGGTATCCCGTATCTGTCCAGCGCATTTCGCTTATTCCGATAATGCTAATCGAGAGTCTTTCCATTTCTTGAATGACATTCGTTCGCAATACTCTTAGAGATCCATGATCTAGAATGTATGCTGGTTCGTGAGGATTTCTCTTGATAACGACCTGGAAGGCCTCACGGTTTGAGCTAGATTTACCTTTCCTGCCGGATCTTGAATTCCGATTTTTATGATCAGTAGTCGGAATCTTAATCTCCATGAGAATTGTACTAGAGATACTTACAAGAAGTCTTTAATACAGTGGTTTCTCCTTGTCTTCTGCATCCTTATGCCATTCACTAAAAGTCTTAGTTCCTCCGCCTTAGAAGCCGATTTCTTAAACTCCAGGACAAAAGAGTGCCCTAAGATCGCAGTATCACAGCCGCTTAACTCATAGTGTGAGTGTCGCTTGTGAGTATCTGGAATTAAGCCTACAGGATTTTTACTTCCCACAGCCTTAATCCAGTAATTACATTACTGCTGCCTAAGGTCATATCCTTAGTTGATCCAATACGCTTTAAATGACTTTAAACACCAAAAAAAATTAAAACCAAAATAGTTTATGCTAAAGATGTTTAGCGGAATTCTCTGGAACAAAAATATAAAGAAAAAGATTAAGTTTTATACATATAAATCTCTCGTCAAAAACTTGCTTTTATTAGACTGTGAAATGTGGCGACTAACAAAAAAAAACCGAAAAAATATATGAGCTTCAAAAATGTATGTAATGAGGCGAACACTGAGGATTTACAGGAAGAAGAGGGTCAAAAAAGAATACATTGAATAAAAGACACAATAATCGACGGCAAAAGATAAGGTATCGAATATAAAAGAGGTGAAGGCAAAAAAACATGGATACGATGAGTAAGACAGTCAATGAGCTATAAAGAACTTAGAGAAGGGCAATGAAATAATCTGCAATATTTAAAATTACGTATCAGATATCAAAAGGTGTTCTAAATCGATTTTTTTCCAAGATTTATCTAGAGGGAATTTAAAAGGAGAATACTAAGCCAGCGGCTTAAAATTACAAAGTAAAAAATTCACAACTGCTGTTAGGATTTTTATCTTTAGGCAGATAAAAATAAAATTAGTTGGACTACGATTTCACTTGTTGTTTTTGTTCGATGTCTGCGTCGCCGTTTCAATATACATGTCGTCTTCTGGTTTCTAAAACTGCGCATATGCAGACCCGAGTTGACGCCATATTTATAAAAAAGGCAAAAAGTTCCTAACACTTGAAAATGTTTAGGAGTAATCTCAGTAATCTGTATTAAGAAGTTAAATAGTAAAAGTAAGCTTATTGAAGAAATGCAATGGCACAAAGCTAATAAAAAATCAGATAATGCAGAAAATTAATCAGGTAATTCAGAGATTCGAGGCGCTATTAAAACTTATAAAACAAACTGAACTGTTATGAAGAATAAGACGACGTTACGGTTAATAGAATCTTGACAGGATCGAAAAGAAATAAATAACAAAATAAAACTAGATTAAAATATAAATGAGAAGGTAAAAATAGTTGATATGATTTGGACAAGTAAAGTTAATGTTACAAGATAATATAGTCTCGAAAGGTACTAGAATCGGTTTCTCCAGAGAAAAGGAAGAAAGGACGTAGCGTAGTGTAACAATAATAGCAATGAATTTAGAAGATGAAAAAATATATAGAAATAAGTTGCACTTTGAATTGAATTGGATTGAATTTTTTTGAATTTTATTTAAAGTAAAAATATAACAAACTAAAATGGTGTGTAAGAGATCGTGGGGTGCAGATCAAAACATTGCTTTGAATTTTTATCGAGCCTATATAAGATCTATAATAGATTACTGTTGTGTGGTATATGGGTCAGCTAGCATAACCAATTTACGTAAACTTGATAGAATCGAATTTAAAGCTCTAAGGATTGTGTTAGTATTGATGAAAAGCACTCCAAATGAAGCCACTCTAGCTCTAGCATCTGAAAACCCACTCTCATTGCGCAGAGAATATCTGACAAGCAAATATTTCCTAAACCAACATTATCGTGGCACTTATAATGCAAAAATAACTAATTAATAACTTTTGAACACAAAAATATGAAAATAATTAATGAAACACAGCTGATTTCACATCTACATACTTTATTAAAAAAAAACTCTCCACCACTTGCAAGAGCAATTATAACTTGAACTGAAGTTAATAACTTCCCCTTGTAATCTTATCTGAGAATCGTTGAATATACCACATCTAACAAGTGTTCTAGCTACAAATATTATTATCCCTAAATACCAAAACAAATTTTGCTACACTACTCTTAAAGAAATCTTAAGTGGCTATTCAGATCATATTGTGATCTATACAGACGTGTCAAAATCACCAACATGTACAACCAGTGCTTACTTTGTACCAAAAATGAAGATTAAAAAATCATTTTTTTTAAATAATCAATCCAGCATTTTTTCTACTGAAGCATGTGTTATATACAAAGCCCTTGACTTGTGCTGTGAAAACCAGTGGAAAAAAATTATCATATGCAGTGATTCACTGTCAGTATTACATCCTTTACAAAACTTTAAAATCACAATCAATAGCAATATATTCATATTAGAAATTTTTCAACAGTTACTAAAACTATCAGATCCATATGGTACTAAATTTCTATGGGTTAAGTTACACTCAGATATTGTTGGCAATACTATTGCTTATTCTATAGCTAAAAATCCATAACAGCACCCACATATGGTGATAGAAGAATTTAACACATATGACCTACTTGCCTATATCAAACAACATATTAAATTTAAATGGGACAGACTATGGATTCAGTTTTGTGAAAGCAGGGGCACCAATTTATACAAATTACAACCAACAGTAGATGTAAAACAATTTTACAAAGATGTTACACTAAGCAGAAACACAGTGTCAACTGTCTTAAGATTAAAAGTAGATCATGGATGTTTTCCGAAACATCTACACAAAATAGGAGTTCTCCTAAAAGACCGATGTGAGTGTGGAACTATTTTTTTTTTATATAGTATAGCTGATTTAAATTACATATTCTTCAACTAACCACTACATCGTAATACAAGCACGTGGCTGCTAAAAAATTGATAAAAGAGAGTTATGTTGCCCACCTACCTAACCGTGGTTTATGTCTTGTTTGTTACAATAAAGCCGCTTTGATGAATCCCTGAGCGTGAAAAGTGTCGTGTCTACCTTGTACAATCCTGTATGAATGAATACTAATATTTATATGTAATTACGTGGCTAAAGGTTTCAAGCAATATATATATATATATATATATATATATATATATATATATATATATATATATATATAATATATTTATATAAATTTAATATATATATATATATATATATATATATATATATATAACAAACTACACGTTCCCTAGAATATAGAAAGCGTATAGTTTAACCTTGCTGCATTGTCTTTTCTTTATTAACTAAAACTGGATTTTTTTTTTATTTTAGGTCATCCGAATCTAAAACTGTTCATTACACATGGAGGCTTATTAAGTACTTTAGAAGCAGTTTATCACAGTGTCCCTATATTGGCTTTACCAGTGTTTGCTGACCAAAATATGAATGCAGCCAAAGCTCAACTGGCGGGTTATGGCTTTAGCCTTCCTTTAGTAGAAGTAACTGAAGAGAAGTTGACTAATGCACTACACGAGGTGTTGACAGATCCAAAGTAAGTTGTATTATTAAATTATATTTTTTGTATATAACATAAACATCTAATTTTATTTATTCAATACGAGTTTTACTAGTTTGATCAATTTTTCTATTTCTTTGCTGAATTTATTCTATTTTGTAGATATAGAGAAACCGTTAAAATCAGATCTAGTCTCTTTCATGATCGCCCTATGAAACCTATGGATCTGGCAGTTTATTGGACCGAATTTATCGTTAGACATAAGGGAGCGCCCCACCTAAGGATAGGATCCATGGATCTTCGATGGTACCAATATTTGCTGCTTGACGTGATTGCAGCTGCATCCGTCGTTATCTTTCTTGTATTTACAGTATTATATATCTTATGTGTTAGATTGTGTTGTTTAAAACAAAAAATAAAGAATAAATATGAATGATTTAATATAAATACTTATTAGTTTGAAGTATATCGTGTTTTTATATTTTTTTAAAATTGTTAACTACTTCATTTTCGCTGTGGTAATTCATGAAAACAGGCGCAATTATCATCAAACTTGTAGCTGCTTATGACACTGTATGAAGAAAGAGCTTAGAATTCAAGTAGTAGCTCAGCTACCAAATGCAAAACGATGACCTTTATGCTGAAACACATCCCTAACAGGCTCTGCCAAGTATCAATGTTGGGATCACTCAGTAAAAAAAAAATCCAATCACATCCACCACATTCAAAAAATTCATGTTTGCTGATGACATTGTATTTGTAACCCAACATACTATCTAGTATACGTACGAACAAACCCTTATTTAAGTCCTGGTATTGATGGTAAAATACCTCACCCAGTAACCACAAGTACGTACATAAAACATACTAAGTACGTACTTATGGGACATAAAGTACGTACAATGTACGTACTTTGCTGTACGAAGTACGTACTTAATACGTACATAAAACGTACATTTTCCAAATTATAGTACCTACCTAGTACGTACGTAGTACATATTGAAGGTATGTACTTAGTACATACTATATATATATATATATATATATATATATATATATATATATATATATACTATACACACTTATGATGATTTATGTAAATAAAAGTAAATATAGGTGAATATATTTTTATTTTTTTTTTAATAAATTCAATTTTTATTCTTTTAAAAATAAGAAAGAAAGTTTTTAAGCGATCCCCGACTCTCTTCAACCATCGTCCAATTTCTTGCTCCGCCACGTTCTTATCACTACATTTTTGACACAAAAAACACTCGACTGAATAAAATAACAGGAATCCACAAGCACCAAACACCAAAAATAAGTAAAAAAAATCTAAGTGAAACTGTCTTGCAATGAATTATCACATCACAACTGTACTCGAGGTATAAAATTCCTAACTAAATAAATTAGGTTAGGTTAACATAACCTAACATAATAAATATGCTTTAACTCTTCTTTCTCATGGTACATACTTAAGACGTAATAAGTACATACTCTTCTGTACGTACTGGTATGTACATACTTAAGAAGTAATAAGTACGTACTCTTCTGTACGTACTGGTATGTACCCCAATGTACGTACTTAAAACTTACATTTTACATCATGTACGTACAGTACCAAAATTGTACATACTTAAAACGTATTGTGCTGTTTGGGCAGGAAATATCAACTTATCCCAATCGTTGCAGAACTTGCCAACATACCCTACAGATATTTCTAGACTGCACTATGTTACCATTTAATCCATATTCAAAATATATGGGCGAGACACTGGATCTCCTTTTCTCCTTTAATAGACATCTGATAACTCTGGCGTTAAAACCAAAACCTCGAAACAGTATTCTGTACAAACTAGCTGTAACCTCCAGACTGTTTACTCAACGGCCAAGTAGTACTGTTTATTAGTCTGGCTAAACAACTTTCGTGTAGACAAAGTCCAAAGAGAATTAAACCAGACAATGAGAATAATCTGCGAATATTAAATCTACTCCACTTATCTGGTTGCCTGAGGAATATCGAGCCGCCTAAAGTACAAAGATGTAACAAACTTATAAGACAGTTAAAAAATTTTTTCAAAAAACTAGTAATTCCCATTCGATAATTCATATTTTATTTGATATAACCGCTGCACAAGAAGAAGACATAAACAGGTTATATGGTCGTCTAGAAGAAACTGTTAGCGCTATTCTGAATCATGAACTAATCATAATTCTAGGAGACTTTAACACCAAAATAATTCATCCAATGAAAATATTGAAGGAGTGCTGGGCAAAAATGAACTGGGATAGAGAAATGAGAATGGCGATCGTTAAGTAGAGTTCTGTGAAGAACATCTTACAATTACAAACACGTTCCATCAACATCACTCCCACGAAGATTATACACATGGCGTAGCCCAGATGGACGAACAAGGAATCAAATAGACTACATCCTAATAAGATCAAGATGGAAGTCGTCCACCATCAACTATAAAACATATCCTGACGCAGACTGTAGCAGCGATCATCAACTCCTGGTATTGAACGTTCGACTTCGTTATAAAGTCCTCAAAAGAAGACCCCTAAGAAAAATCATGTCTAAATCCATTAAAAATTATTGACTTCCAACAATACCTAGAACAAGCTCTTTGTTTAAAACAAGTAAATAGTGACCCTGAGAGCACTTGGATCTATCTCAAAGATAAGGTAATTGAGGATGCAAAAGACTATTAGGCAGCGGTTTCTACGGGCCGTAAACCGTGGATATCCGATAATACGTGGACCGTGATTTAACGCAAAAAAGAATATAAAACTAGATACAGAACAAACGATGAATACACAGCGTTATCAAAAGAAATCAGCAAACAAGTGCTGCAAAGGCAAATCTCATTACATCTCTCAAATATGCAGAGAGATTGAGGAACATAGCTGTCGAAATAAACCGAGGGATATATTTCAGAAGATCAAACTCTTTATTATAGAATTTATATCTCAAACGTGGTCTGTTATATATAACTAAGGTGGCGAACATGGCGAAACTACTGTGGCGAGCTATATAAAAATAACGAGGTAGCAGCAGAAGATCAGTGGCCCTCTGGCTATCCTAGAGAACGTACTGTCTTATTCGCTGAAGTCAAAGACGCTATTAAATCGCTAAAGAGAAATAAATCCCCAAGCATTGATTCAATACCAGGTGAAATACTGCAGTTACTAGGTAACAGATATCATCCATACTATCTGTGTCACTGTTTGGAATTCAGGAAACCATCTGATTGGTGTACCTCAATTTAAATCCCGGCACACAAAAAAAGATCTACTACTAGATGTGAAAACTACCGCACACTGTCACTAATAACACATGCTAGTATAATCTTGTTGCATATCATGAAAAACAGATTAAAAACCTATTCTTCTTCTTCACGTGCCATCTCCGCTACGAAGGTTGGCTATCATCATGGCAATTTTGACCCTGGAGGCTGCCGCTCGGAACAATTGTATGGAAGTGCAAGCAAACCACTCCCTGAGGTTTCTCAACCATGACATTCTTCTCCTACCTATGCTGCGCCTACCTTTAATATTTCCTTGCATAATTAGTTGTAACAGTTGATATTTATTCCCACGTGTAATATGTCCCAGGTATTGTAGTTTCCTCATTTTAACACTCAATACGACCTCCTTTTGTTTGTTCATCCTGTCTAATACAACTTGGTTAGTTATCTTATCCTTCCAGGAGATTTTTAACATTCTTCGGTACGCCCACATCTCAAATGCCTCCAGCTTACCCATGCATTGCTTATTTAGTGTCCTCAACCCCATATAACATGACCGAGGAAACATAACATTTCAGCATTCGTATTTTCAGCTTCAGGCTTAGGTTTCGGCTACAGAACATTTGTTTCATGTTGTTAAAGGCACTGCGGGCTTTCTCTATTCTTATTCTTATTTCTCTGGTGTATTCGTTTGACTCATTAATATTTGTTCCGAGGTAATTGTAATTTTGTACTCGTTCAATGAGATTCTGTCCTACATGTAAGTTGATATTATTGATACATTTCTTTGTAATTATCATGAATTTGTTCTTCTTTGTATTCAGTGATAGACCAAATTCTTCACTTGCTTCTACCACTTTGTTTAGTAATCTCTGTAGGTCGTCAATATTTTCTGCTATGAGCGCGGTATCATCAGCATATCGGATATTGCAAATAGGGTGGCCGTTGATCTTTACTCCGGCTTTTTCGTTCATAAGAGCTTTTTTAATAACTTCTTCCGCGTAGACATTGAACAAGGTTGGAAACAACACACAGTCCTGCCGAACACCTCTTTTGATCTGTATTCTATCTGATATCGAGCTGTTAATTCGTACTATAGCTTCTTGTTTGTAGTATAGATTCCTTATCACTCGCATGTCCCTTGTATCATTATTTTTATTTTCCAGTATTTGCATCAGTGGCCTATGTTTTACTGTATCAAATGCTTTGTTATAGTCTAGGAAACACACAAATATGTCCTGATTTACGTCTAAGCATCGTTGTGTTAAAACATTACAAGCAAACAGTGCCTCTCTAGTTCCTAGTCCCTCTCTAAAGCCAAATTGAGAGGGTCCGATGTCAACTTCCATTTTTTATATATTCTCCGATGAATGATTTTTAAGAAGACCTTTAATATATGACACATGAGACTGATGGTGCGATGTTCCGAGCATTGTCTCGCATTAGACTTTTTGGGTATGGCTATTATTGTTGTTACTAGCCATTCATTAGGTATGATACCAGATTTGTAAATGCTGTTAAATAGTTCCACGATCTTTATTAAGTTGTTGCCTTTGATTAATTTAATTATGTCTATTGGTAGTTCATCTGGGCCTGTAGCCTTCCCCGACCTCATTTCTTTAATCGTGTATTCCACTTCATCTCGTGTTATTTCTGGTCTTGTGTCACTGTTTATGTATTCGTTATCTATTCGTTTATCTATTCGTTATCTACATTGTCTCTTTGATCTTTAAACAGTTGTTCCATGTACTGTTTCCAGACTCTTAATTTTTCTTCTGTGTCCATAATAATGTTTCCACTCTCGTCTACTAATATGTTGTGTCTGTTACTTTGTCTCCTCGTCAACTCTTTGATCTTCCGATGTGCATTAAAGCTGTCGTGTTTATTTTGTAGTTGTTCGATTTCTTCGCATTTTTCCCCGTACCAGTTTTCTTTAGCTGTGCGTATTTTTAGACGAATTTCTTTTTGTATCTCTTTATACTTCTGGTTCTTTTTGTTTTTCTGTTTTCTTCTTTCATCCATTAAGTTCAGTATCTCATTTGTCATCCATTCTTTTTTATATTCTTTACTTTTATGGAGGCAACTTATGCTTGGTTTCATTAACGCTGTTTTAATGTATGTCCAATTCTCATTGATGTTAACTTTTGTGTTGTCTTTTATGGGTTGTATCTTTGTTACTGCTTCATCAATTTCTTGTATCATCTGTTCTCTTACTT